ACAGACAACCTCTCGTCAATATGCGTTTTTTGCATTGCATTACTGCAAAAAACGCATAAAAAATGGGCTCCTTGTGATTACTGAGTGACAGAAATGGGTTAGAAAACTCGTGCAGGTTGACAGACACACAGATGATTATTGGAAATAACGAATGTCTGAACAGCAAAATATACTGCTCAAATCTTCATCTTAAGAGAGAGAGTTATGACAGAGTTTCAGGCTTACCGACCGGAAAAGTGCAGAAAATTTCATTTTTCGAGAGATAAATAGCAGATCCTGAGCTGCAGAACGGGACCCACCCTTTCAGTACTACTGTGCTGAATACTCTGGCACACAAAGGCGAGTTGAAAGCACAAGAGCAAGCGTTTATTGCAATGAAAAGTTGATGCGGGGAATTGCTGAGGTATCCCTTCTCCTCCAATTTTGTTCGCAAAGAGGACTGGGATGCTTTTTTGGCTTAATTTCGTTCACTTTTCATTTCTCAAAACTCAGTTGGTTTTCAAGAAGACTCCAGGAAATTGGTTTTATTGCTTACTTATTGTGTGATAGTACAAGAGAAAGATATCCAACTTTTATTTTACACAAAAAACGAAAAACACAAATAAATTTTACGGAAATCACATCACAAAGCAAATATTATCAACAACTGACACTCGCATATAAACCGTTTCCGGATGATAAGTTGTATGAATTTTTCCGGGCTCGTCCATCCATAATCTGTACTCTTGCCGCACTCATCCATGCTTTTCCTCAGCATTTCCCGATCTCATCCAAGCACTCGCGGGTCTTTTTGTATGTTTTCACTCAAACGCTCTCTGTATATTTTCTGTATTCACTCGAACACATTCCGCGCATTTCCTGGACTCGTTCGAACATTTCTTGTGTATTTTCCGAATTCCCTTTAAAGCATTCTGCACATTTTCCAGAATTCATTTAAGCTCATTAATATGGGTTCTTCAGGGTTCATTTAGCTATTCTCTACACATTTTCCGAATTGAATCAGAAATCCAGGCACAAAGTGCAAATCACACAACATTGTTTCCTTGTGCCGTCGTAATCTGTTACAGAAGTAGTAGAAATAGCCAATGTCCGACCTCACAATTAATCGAACCTCG